CCGCCGCCTCAGCCGGGGGGGCCGTCCCGGGGCCGGGACCGGGGGGCGGCGGGACCCCCCCGGGCGGTGGAGGAGAGAAGAGTAAGGCAGCGGCCGTCGGAACCAACCAAACTGGAACTGGAGGAACCGCACTGGAACTGGCAGGAACTGGAAGCGGGGGAAGTTCGGGAAGGTTTCTTCCCCCTTGTCCGGGGACACAGACCCAAATGGAGACCCAGCCCCCGGGGCCGGCACCGCCTCGCGGTCCTTCTGGAGCACAACTACAGCCGAATTCCACGCTGCCGCCCGCAGCTCCAGCCGGCGGCGCGGGCACCGGCTCCCCGGCAGCGGTGTCGGCATTAGAGAAAACCAGCAGGGCAGGCCGGAGCCCCCCCAGCCCGGCCGGGAGCCAGGTCTCGGGCTGCCCGTGCCCTGGCGGCGCTGACAAACAAGAGAAAGCACCTTCTGCTCCAGCAGGTCCCGGCCAGGCCTGTGGGACAGCGGCCCTCGGGGAGGGCACCGGCTGCGGCACCGTGTCCCCGGCGGGTACCAGCACAAGCGGCACTAAGGTGGCACCCGCGGCCTCAGGAGGGACTGGCTTAGACGCCTCTAAAAGCAAATCTCCTTCCCCTCCCGTGTCTTCGCTGACGCCCACCAGCTCAGAAGCCCAGGCTGGGGCTGGGGCCGCCCCTGTCCCACCCCCAGACACCCCCCCGGGAGCACCCGGCCTTAAAACTCACCCAGGTTCCAGCTCAAGCGGGGCCCTCCCGAAACCAAGCTCCAGCATCCCTGCCAACAACCCCTTGGTCACCCAGCTCCTCCAAGGCAAGAGCGTCCCCCTGGAGCAAATCCTGCCGAAGCCTCTCACCAAGGCGGAGGTGAGACCGGCCCCATCGGCCGCTCATGAGGAGAAGGGGGCAGCGTCCATCGCTCCGAGCCCGGCCGGGAGCGGCGCCGGAGCCGAGGGTGGTGAAAGACAATCGGGTTTGCCCCCACAACAGCTCGGGATGGTCTTTTGCCAGAACAGGCCTCTCCCTCACATTCCAAGGACCTTTCCGCTCCCCTCGGGAAAGGACCCCGGTCCTGAGCAGCACCAGTGCCACGAGGGGCTCAGCAAAACAACCCAAGAGCAGATCCTTCAGACCCTCATCAAGAGGGTCCAGAGGCAGAATTTGTTGCCGGTCCTTCAGCCTTCGCAGCTGAACCTCCCTCCCTCAGGTTTCCAGTCAGAAACCGGCTCCACCAGCCAGCGGTTTGTGCTGGGTTTCATGGGCAGGAGGACCTCCAAGCCTGCCATGTCGGGGCATTATCTGCTCAACATTTCCACCTACGGCCGTGGCTCAGAGAGTTTGAGGAGAGGCTTCTCCTTGAACCCCGAAAACCGCTTGAGCAGCCCTGCCGGCGCTCCCAAGGCGGAGTTCGGGGAAGGCGAGGAGATGGCTGGCCAGGGCAGCAGCAGCGAGGAAGGGGACGCGGACGACGAGAGCACTGGTGACGAGCGCGAGCGTGTGGGTGTGAAGGAGGAGCCCCAGGCCGCCCGGGTGCCCGCTCAGGGCGACGGGGAGCAGGGCCTGCAGGGCGCCGGCCCCTTGGCTGGCAGCGCCCCGGCCAGGAGGGGCGTGAAGGCAGAGGCGGGCGCCAGGGAGAACGCGCAGGCCTTTGACGGGCCTACGTTGGCACGGGATTTTATCCAGGCGGCTCAAGAGCAAATGGCGCACGCCATGAGGGGCAAGATGCGCAGCAACCCGGAGCTCTTTGTCCCCCCGGCCCCCTCCTCGGACTCGGCGCAGCAGCAGCCTCCACTGCTGGCTCCCGCCCACCCGCCCAAGCTCCCGGGCAGCGGCGCCGCGCAGCTCCTCGGGCCCAGCTACAGCGGGACTATTAACGTCTCCACCTCCCCGGACGTCGGCCAAGGGCCTCTGATGAGCGGGCTGTCGGAGTGCAATCAGTTGGCCAGCAGCATGGGGAACGTCATGTCCTTCTCCGTCACCGTCACCACCATTCCCACCAGCCAGGCCATGAGCTCTGGCAACCACGGCCAGGCCATCCCCGTCCAGGCCTTCTCTGAAGACCACGGCCTGGAGGACTCTCCTTCCAAATGCTACTGCAGGTTGAAAGCCATGATCATGTGCAAGGGCTGCGGTGCCTTCTGCCATGACGACTGCATCGGCCCCTCTAAGCTCTGTGTCTCCTGCCTCGTGGTGCGGTAACCGGGGGGGGCCGGGGGGAAGAGGACGGCTTCGTTGCGGGGTTTGCTTTGGGAAGTACAATGGGAAGAAACAGGAAATTTACTGCCTTGCACAAGAGACACGTTGCCCGATCAGGAATCCAGAGTAGAGTCCTTCTTTCATTAAAGAAAGAGCACCTTCTTGTACAGTGAGTCTAAATTGAGCTCAACTACGGGAATCGTGACAAGAGTTTGCACTTAAGGAATTATGTAAATATGTCACATTATTTTGTTTAAAACTATTTTTTCAATCTTTTAGGAGATAGCGTTTGACTTGTGCTGCAGTTTCAGTAGCCCCAGCCTGCTCTCCAGCGTGTTTCGCTGAGCCCCGCTCCAGGGGGGGAACCGACCCCCGGCAAAACCGCAGCCCGAGGTCGGTCTCCTCCTGAAAAAGGGGAGAACTGGAAAAATCAAAGGAAGGGAAGGTTTGTGCTGAGCGATGGGGGCACCGAGGCTGGAATCCGGCCCTGTGCGGGCTGGCCTCGGTGCTCTGGATTTCAGTGTGAGGTTTTTTGAGAGTTGGGAGGCTTTGGGGTTGTCCCGTTGGGGTTGTCCCATTGGGGTTGTCCCCGCCTTCCCAGTCGTGGCCTTTCCCCGGGAGCGGCCGTTCCCCGCGGGCGCCCTGGGCTGTGCAATACTGGCTGGAGTTTCTGAGCTGCATATCCTCTCCTCGTCAAGGAGGCACCTGCAGTAACCTTGTTTTAAGGAAAGTAGTGTCTTGATGTTGCTACTGGTAAATAGTGAGACAGGCGACTGGACGACCCGTGGGATGGGAGACCTTCAGTCGCTAAACCAGCTCGGGTTGGGGGGAACCCTGGGCAGCAGAGATCACCAGTACCTGCTGAACCCCTCTCCCTTCTGGGCTGTCAGCACCCGGCAGAAACCTGCTGGGTTTTAATGAGGTGTTTTAATGAGGGGGTGGGAAGCACTGTCCCAGTCAGGAGCCATCAGCCATGACCCCCCCGGGACACGAGAGAAGCGTCTCTGAGCATCACCCTCAGTCCCACCGTTTCCTCGGGAGCTTTTGCTGCGCTCATTGGGGTCCCCGACAGTCAGACTTCTCATTTCTAGAGCTTGTATATTTGGCTCAGTGTAGGGACAGGAAAACAAGTGTCTTGTTGGGCCTGAGGTGTGCCCGCTGGGGGGGCTGTGTGGTTCTCGGTACCAAATGCTTGGGTTCTGCCGAGCCAGGGCTGGGGAAGGGGCTGTGCACCCCCCGACCCCATCCCGGGGCACGGCCGGGGACCCTCAGCCTCCCTTGCAGCCTCCCAAATCCATCCGCTGGGATTAATGGAAACTAAAGCAGTTGCAAAATGGTACTGGGTTGTGAGGAGCTGCCGCCCGGCTGGCTAACGAGGCACCTGCCCAGCTGGCTAACGAGGCACCTGCCCGGCTGGCTAACAAGGCACCTGCCCAGCTGGCTAACGAGGCACAGGCTGAGCTGTGGGTATTACAACCTCCCACTGGGGGTCTCTGGGGTGTTTCTCTACCAAAACCCTGGGGTTCACTCGTCACCTTCAGTCCCGGGTTGTTGCTGGGGGGTAGATGGGGAGGGGGCACATCCTGCATCTTGGGCAGGTAACAGAGCGTTGTCTCTTTCTGATGGAAAAGCACTGAATTCACTTTTAATCCAAAGGCCTTTTTAAGCTGAAGCAATATTAACAAAGTGGGTGGTAGGGCTGTTCTGTGCGGGGGGGTCCTCAGCCTTCCTCCTTCTCCCCCTTCGCCTGTCCCCCCCCCCCCCCCCCCCCGGAGACCCGGGAGCTGTTGGGGAGGGTCAGAAATAACCCCCTGGGAAGCAGCAGGGTGTCCCAAAAGGGGATGTATTGGGGAATGACAAAGAAAAATAGAAGCAGATTTCATTGAGGCATTTCCTTCCCTGCCCAGGCAGAGCGCGGACCCTCTGGAGTGGGATTTGTGGGGGGGTCCCAGGGGCTGCAGCGCATCTTGGTCTCCGTTTTGCTCATCCTAAATTTACTGGGGAGCAGCGACCCCTGCTTCCTGACAAGGTGTCACGGCTCAGACATCCAGTACCAGAGGATCTAAGTATTAGAAATAACGTCAAAATTTTTAATCTAGAACTGAAATCTCAAAAAACCCACCCAACCCCCCCCCCCACAAGTTCCCCCGGTGTGTCGGTGGTGCTGTGCAGGTGGTGATGGTTGTAGCCCAAGAACCACCCTCCCCTGTCTGTGTGTCCCTGCTCGGGGTGTGCGGGGGGACAGCGCTTGGCTGGTGGCTTCGAGGTCGACACGGGAATGGGGGGACCCTCTCCTGGCCAGGCAGCCCCCGGCTCCCGCGGGGAGAGGGGCTCCTGCTCGGGGGGTGGGTGCCCCCAGGGGCTGAGCTGGGAGCTCTGGGGCAGCTCCAGCCTCCTCTGGCCGTGGAGAAGCTCCAGCAGCAGAATAACCCTCAGGTCAACGCGTTGGTTCCTGGCTGCGACACATCCCCAGGGTCACCCGGTTTAGAGACGGGTGGTAGTTACAAAATCAACCGAAAAACCCCATTCTTGCCTCAAATAAGAGCGAAGGGGTTCTGCGGACATAACGGGGCCCGTTCTGCTTGTGCCCCAGCTTTTATCGGGGTGGCTGAGGGTGCCACTGGACGGGAAGGAGAAGGTGTGGAGGGAGCAGCCAGCTGAGACCTTGCTCTGAAGGCGGCTGTGCCCGGGGAAGGCTGTTCTTGGCTCCTCTGGGCACTTACCAGCCCCTTCCCTGAGGGTCCACCTCGTTCCTCCCGTGGGGTTTCCCCTGGGGTGGGTGGCTTCGGATTCCTGTCCCGCAGACACCTCTTGGGACCCCCCTCTGGAAGGCAAGAAGCTGCCACTGGTGCATGGTCCCACAGGAGAGGCCCAGAGTCATCATCCCGGGGTGGACGAGTGGCCACCACGAGGGTCTCGGTGGCTCCAGACCCGCGTGGGACAGGGTGGGGTGACCTGGAAGTTTACAACTCCCTTCAGTGCCTTAGGGATATTTTAACGGATCAGCACTTTTCTCGGGCTACTTTTATTCTATTTCTTTTTAAGGAAATTACTTCTTTTTAACTGCACGTCTCTGCGCCGGGGGTGCAGGTTGGTGGGGGAACCTCCTCAGGGCTGCGAGAGGGCATTAAGTCGTTAGGAAATGATTAGAGACAACGGGGCTGGGTGTAATTACCACGTACAGGTGGACATCAAGCCTTGGAAGCTTCACCTGTTTTCCATTGTGGGATCGTGCATTCCAGAGGGGGGGATCCTGCAGCCCGGGGGAGGATTGTCTGCTCTCCCACCGCCCCCCTTCCCGCTGCTCCTCCAGCAGGACGGCTGGGTGTAATTACCACGTACAGGTGGACATCAAGCCTTGGAAGCTTCACCTGTTTTCCATTGTGGGATCGTGCATTCCAGAGGGGGGGATCCTGCAGCCCGGGGGGGCTACTTTTATTCTATTTCTTTTTAAGGAAATTACTTCTTTTTAACTGCACGTCTCTGCGCCGGGGGTGCAGGTTGGTGGGGGAACCTCCTCAGGGCTGCGAGAGGGCATTAAGTCGTTAGGAAATGATTAGAGACAACGGGGCTGGGTGTAATTACCACGTACAGGTGGACATCAAGCCTTGGAAGCTTCGCCTGTTTTCCGTTGTGGGATCGTGCATTCCAGAGGGGGGGATCCTGCAGCCCGGGGAGGATTGTCTGCTCTCCCACCGCCCGCCCTTCCCGCTGCTCCTCCAGCAGGACCCGGACCCTGCCCTCACGCTGGGGTTACAGCTCGAAGGGCCGCGGGGACGCAGCTGGAAGCAGGACATTTGGGTTCCCCGGGCATTAAATTACCAGCCCTGCAGCAGAGCCCGGGCTCAGAAATCTGAGGTGAATCGTTTTGAGCACCTGGTGTCAGCCTGGGGCTGTGGTGGCAGCAGCTCCAGTAGGAAAAGTTCCTGGGGTTAAAATTCCCCCTTTTGGGCCATTCCCAGGTCAGGGATGCAGGGGGAGGGACGGGGTGTAACCTCCCGGGGGTCTTTGGGGCAGGGGAGCAGCTCGGCAGGAGTTTGGGGTCTGGGGGGGTTGGGGGCACAGGGGAAGGGGTTTGGTGGGAAATTGTAACGTCCATCCTTAGATGAGAAGGACAGACCAAGATGTTCAGCAGCTCTGGTGGCCCCAGGAGTGTGTTCTGGTCGTGGTGAAGGGAGAGAGCTGGTGTCATTAGAGTCATTAGGAGCTGGGTCTGAGGGGTGGCCTTCACCTGCTGGTGAACCCTCTGCTGGACCCTCCCGGGCTGGTCCCTGCCCACAGCAGGAGACTGGAGCTGGACTCGGGCTTCTCTGCTCCATGGAAGGGGCTGGCTGACACCCTGTTGAAACCATGTGGCCATGGGTGGCCACCAGAAGGCTGAGGAGCACCAGCCCTGCCCAGGTGTCCTCCCACCATCTCTGGCAGGGGCCACCCCTCAGCGCGGCACAGCCACACCAACGTGGCCATGGGGCGATTGGTGGTGGCCACGCGTGGCCAGTGGTGGGGCTGTGTTCCTCCTGGGAGCTGTCTGGAAGCCACCACCGGGCCTGGTGTCACCTCCGTGGCTCTGCTGGCTGGGGAGGAGGCTCCTCGGGCTGGGCTGGTTGGACCTTCCATGGTCCCATGTCTGGAACCGCAGGCGGCTGCCGCAGCGGTGGGAGGGAAGGACGGGGTGTGCACACTGAATGACCGGGCAATTAGCAGGGATTAATTACTGGGGGTGGGGGGAGGAGAGTGTTCCTGGGCGAGGGGCTCCCGGGAGGCGGCTCCAGCCTTTGCTGGGATCACGGAATCCAGAACTTTCTTTGTTACCTGGGTTGGTTTTTTTAATGCTATACATTTGATATAACAGAAGATCCATTTTAAGAGCTTACAGTAATATATTTTAAGTAATATATATTTTAGTATCTGTTAAAAAAATAAATAAAGAGGCAAAGGCTGATTTGTGGGGTAGATGAGCAGGGGAGGGAGCGTGTGGCTCCTCGGCGAGGCCAGGGGGGGTGACGAGCAGGAGAACTGAGAACTCAGTTTTTTTCCACTAAATGCAATAAAAATGGGAATTCTTACAAAAGAAGAAATCCAGTGCTGTTTACCACGAGCAGGTTAGAGGATACTAAACCTTTGTCTGTCTTTTGCCTTTTTAAAAGGGACTTAAATTGGCCTAGAG